AAAATTATCTTTATGTTTTATTGAAATAAATTTTAAAAATTCTGATAAAATTATAGGTAATAAGTAATTTGAAAGCAATTCTTCCCACATCTTGTATTGTTATTCGAGATTGCAAGAAACAACAGATTCGGGAAGAGGAGTTGGTTACCGGTGATTTGGTTATAATAACCGCTGGTGCTATTATACCGGCTGATATGCGCATTTTACAATCAAACGGTCTGAAGATCGAAACATCAGCTGTAACAGGTTTATTTTATCTTTTCTTCCACTATCATTAATAAAATTCTGTTACTTTAAAAGGTTATTGATTATCATTAGTAGAATTCTACTACTATAAAATCTTTTTTTTATGGGTCAGAACGATTGTATTTATTTGAAATGGCAATTTAAAAATAATTTTAAGAAATATTTTATAATATGAAAATGGCAGAATCAAAATTATATTTTATTAAAATAAAATGGCACGAAAAGTGCTACACAATTTTAAAAATTATCTTTATGTTTTATTGAAATAAATTTTAAAAATTCTGATAAAATTATAGGTAATAAGTAATTTGAAAGCAATTCTTCCCACATCTTGTATTGTTATTCGAGATTGCAAGAAACAACAGATTCGGGAAGAGGAGTTGGTTACCGGTGATTTGGTTATAATAACCGCTGGTGCTATTATACCGGCTGATATGCGCATTTTACAATCAAACGGTCTGAAGATCGAAACATCAGCTGTAACAGGTTTATTTTATCTTTTCTTCCACTATCATTAATAAAATTCTGTTACTTTAAAAGGTTATTGATTATCATTAGTAGAATTCTACTACTATAAAATCTTTTTTTTATGGGTCAGAACGATTGTATTTATTTGAAATGGCAATTTAAAAATAATTTTAAGAAATATTTTATAATATGAAAATGGCAGAATCAAAATTATATTTTATTAAAATAAAATGGCACGAAAAGTGCTACACAATTTTAAAAATTATCTTTATGTTTTATTGAAATAAATTTTAAAAGTTCCTATAAAATTCTAGGTAGCAATAATTAATCGCTAATATTGCGTTGAATAAGATATGATGTTAAAATTGCAATCGAATTATTAATTTAAATGTTGATTTATATTAAGCTAAAATGTCAATTAATATTTTAATACATGTGTGGTGAAGTTCTAGATCAAGTAATTAATTTAACTATTACTATAGATTATGCGAAAATATTAATTTGAATGTTAATCCAGATATTAATCGATATATTTTGCAAGATCAATTAACATCTTATTAATTTAGATGTTAATTAGTTCATGCTAAAGTCTTATTATTATTATTATTATTATTTTTAATCCTTAACATTAAACAATATTTTACTATTATTAATTTGCTCATACTGTACAACTTATTGAATGCAGTACGTAAACTTCACTACATTCTTTTGGATTATATTTAATTTTTTAGGTGATAAGGAAATTTATGATTATACAGATGAAGTTGTCACAACATATCCATCAGTATTTGAAGCACGAAATGTTGCATTTAAGGGATCATTTTGTCTTGAAGGTGATGGAATTGGAATTGTTGTACGAACTGGAAAATACACGGTAATTTAAATTGCTTTTTTTTTCTCCTCCATTTGTTTTCTTATTCGAAAAAATTTCATTTTATTATAAATATTTTTCATCTCTTATTTTAATTAAACAAAATTATTGTTACACCTTTTTTTTTCTTTTAGGTTCTTGGCTATATTATAAACATTCATCAACAAGTTTGCAAAACACGAAGTAAATTAAAAATGGAAATTGATAAATTTGTCAATTTTATATCAATTTTAGCATTAATTATGGCAACAGTATTCTTTATGTTTTGTAGTATCATAAATAAGTTTGTCGTTCTTTTTTTTTTCTTGTTTCCAAATTTTTTTTTTACAGAATTTATGAATTCAAGAATAGATGCTAGAAATTTTATTAAATAATGAATGCTATTAGGTTCATTTATAATTTAAAATGATAAATGGAATTTTAGTTTTTTTTTCTTGGATGTTAAATTTATTTGGTACAAATAATTATTGTTATTAAATGTTCAATCATTGTAAAATAATACTTTCGTTT